AGTTTGTAAATAAAATATATGAAGTAAAATGAAGGTGGAGATATATACCTTGATTTTTGAAAACAAAAATTAATCAAACAGGTTTGTGTGTTTATTCACTTATCAACATTTTATTGCATATCTACTGATGCTAGGCATAGTGTTGTATTGAAATCACAAACTTATTCGAAATGTATAAATAAATAACCTTTGAATGTTTGAGCCTCAGTAAAGCATCTGGTATAATATTTCTTAATTTTACTTTCAAATGATGCAAATTATTTAAGATATAAAATGTTACTTGGACCAAGACAATTCAGTAATTGGGCAAGAATAGTCTTTTCAGCAAATGATGCTGGGAAACTTCCATATCCACATGCAAAAGATTGAAGTTGGAGCTCTACCTCACACTGTATGCGAGGTACGTAATTAACTCAAAATGGATCATAAATGTCATGTAAGAGCAATCAATCTCTTATAAGAAAACATAGGAGTAAATCTTTGTGACTTTGGGTTAGACAATAGTTTCTTAGATATGACACCAACAGCAAAGGTGACCCCCAAAATGGTAAATTAAACTATGTACAATTTTTTAAAAAGTTTGTCCTACAGAGGATGCCATTACGAAAGTGAAAAGACAATCCTCAGCACAGGAATAATATTTGGAAATCATGTGTCAGATAAGAGATTTATATTCAGAATGCAAAAAGAACTCATAGAACTCAATAATAAAAAGATGAACAACCCAGTTACAAATAGGCAAAGGATTTTAATAGATATTTCTTTAAAGAAAATATACAAATGACCTGTAAACACATGAAAAGATGCCTTATATCATTAGGCATTAGGGAAGTGCAAGTCAAAGCCACAATGAAATACCACTTCACACCCTCTAGGACGGCAATAAAAACAAACAAACAAGCAAACACAAAATCCCCAGAAATAGCAAATGTTGCCAAGAAGAAATATAGTTAAATCGAGACGTTTGTACATTGCTGGTGGGAATGTAAAACGTGGAGCTGTTGTGAAAGTTAAACAGCATTACCAATAACCCAGTAATGCCACTCCTAGGTATGTACTCCGAAATTTGAAAACAAACTCAAACAGATACCTGTACACCAATGTTCATAGTAGTATGATTCATAATAGCCAAAAAGTGGAAACAATCCCAATGTTCAACTGATTAATGAATAAGGAAAATGTGGGATAGCTATACAATGGAATATTTTCAGCTCTAAGAAGGAATGAAGTTCTGCTACATACTAAAACATGGACAAATCTTGAAAACATTATGCTAAAGGAACAAAATCGGTCACAAAAGACCATATATTGTATGATTCTATTTCTATGAAATATCCAGAATAGGCAAGTCCATAGAGACACCAAGTAGATGAGAGGTTGCTGATGGGGTGAGACAGGGAGGGGGACGGATATGACAGCCAGTAGACACAGGGATTCTTCCAAGGGGGACAAAAATGGCCTGACATTATGGTGATGGTTGTACACCCCTGTGACTATACCAGCAAGCGCTGAATTGTGCACTTTGAATGGTCGAATTATATGGCATATAAATTTTATCTCAATAAAGCTGTTAAAAATGTTATTTGGAATGAAAATTAGCATGAGTATTTACAAATAAAAAGCTAAATTTAAGGCATTCAAATTGCTCAATAGGTCACCAGATGTTTTCAATTTAAATTCAACTAATTGTTTAATCTGTAAGTGTATGCTCCTAATAGTTGCATGCATATATTTATCTGTGTTCATTCCAAAAGTGGGGGAAGGGGGAATCATTGGTTTTAATCCTTCCCTATTCTGTGGCAATTTTTTCATTGCTAGAAATGGTTAAATTTCAAGGAAAATATTTTGTTTTTTACCACCAATTTTCTTCCATGTTTCCATGTATGACAAATTATAAAATTCTAGTATTCTAAATTTCCATGCGGAAAACCTAAATATGGTATAGGGAAATATTACTTATTTTTCTTCTTCTGATCCTCTTTGACCCAAGGTAATATAAAATTTTCTTCTCTATGTCTAGCATACAAAGATTCTGTGTTTTGTGTTTTGCTTAAACCACTTTTAGGCCAAGGCTGAGTCTCCAAGTCTATGCCATCTAGTGGCAAGATTGAAGAAATGCTGGTTTCTTTCCTAGCTTTAAGTGTACAAACGTTGGCAGATGTCCAAGAAATGTTAAGAACCGTCAACAAATTAGTGACTAATCTTTATGTTTACTCTTTAATTCAAAGCAGTGAACTATGTGTTTACAGAAAGTTTTTATGACTTTATCAGTCTTGTATTTTTTTCAAGTTGGCTGCCTGAAATCTAAAACCTAGGAATTCAAGACTTACTAATTTATTGCTAGTTTCTAACCACTTACAATTGAGGCAGGCGAGATTTTACAAAAATATTTCTGTTTGCAGTGTATACAGAAGATAACTGAATAAATTATTATTTTTTTCCAGTAATATTAAGTATGTTCAATCTTAAATTCTGATATGTATGTATATCAAATATGGGTTATGTTCACTGTTTTAAATTAAGCTTTAATTAATTGAATATAGTTTTCCACATTTATATAATGATAGATCTGCATACCACGGGTTTATTTGTATAACTGATGAAATTATATCTGTCACGTTCAAAGCCAAAAATAGTCTGTCCCATTCCTTCCTTAGAATATGTAAAATATTGGTAATGTCTTTATCTACTGACAACATTATAATGAAGTCATTTTTACACTGTTTTATAATAAGCCTATTGCATTACTCAGAATATGTCATGCTTACTTCAGAGTGATCTACTTTGATCAAATTGGCAGCATAAAAGTTACTTTGGGTCACGTGGTTTTATTCAGTGACAGAAAAATACTATTTTAAAAAATAAAAGTGGAACGTACCCAAGCTAAGTTTAAAGGTGAAATAAAGTACAATTATTTAAAATAGATATAAGTTGATTTGATTTGTGGACTCAGCTCACTTCTGAGTAAATGTTAACGTACTTTAAAAAAAAGTTATGTCAGACATGTAGGGAACATGTTCAGTAATATCTTGTATAGGGATTTAAATAAACGCAGCTTCTAGATACTTAGCTGCAGCATTTATATTCATATGAACCAAAATCTTATTACTGTGGATGAATTTAGACAGGATAAGCTTAAACATTAATCCTCAATAAATCATCCTGTTTGGAATGGACACTGGAAAACTATGAATCTTCCCATCAGTTTAGAAAATAGATTAGCATATGTACGTGTTGGTAAGTTATTAACGTGTTCATTCTTAACAGGGCTGCATAGGGGTGAAGATGGGGAGGACAGTGAAAACAGCATGGTTTTTGTTTGAAATGCATCATCTTTTTGTCTAAATGCCATTGATTAAGGGCTGCCATGTTTAATTATTACTAATATTCTCCACAATCCTAAAATTACAAACTGCTAGGTGAGAACCTACAGAAGGGAACTTAAAGAAGTCATCAAATCTGTCCCTGATGTTTGTGGGTCCAGTAGTATTCTGGAGGTAAGAACCCTTTGCTTTGTTAGCAAACCTCAACTCGTGGCTACACGAACTAGCCTGGGGACTGCCATAGCAAACCCTTTGTCCATACCAAGACAATGTTTCTATTTTCACTCTTGTCTCATTTGTGTACATATTAGCCTGTTTTTTTGGATGTGATTAATCGTCATCTCCCCAGTTTTGATTAATTTCCAGTGGAAGTTTCCTGGACATCCACATGGGAAGTAATATTCTAATTTTCTCAGAAAGACCTACATTTTGAGGTCTAGATATCATAATTTAGTCCCTAGAATGCCAAGGCCAGACCAGCTGGCTAAACTGACTCCAACCCAGAAATCTGTATAAATAAGGACTGTGAAAAAAATAGTGAAAAATGTAGGACTGTAGAGAAAATGAAATGTTAGGTCTCGTAATGGAAATCTATGAATTCCATTGAGGCTGTTGTTTGAAAATCTGTAAAGGGAAGAATTTCCCTTAGGAATCAGTGTAGAAGGAAAGAAGCAGATGTCCTTGAATTGTCTGTTTGAATATGTTCTTTATTAATGAGATAAAGAAGAGCAACTTCAGGAAAGGACTCACAAGTGTTAACTGAGAAGTTGTGAAAAAGTCCAGGAGAGACAGTTGTCTTTGAAGCCAAACCCGAGTACAAAGCAGGAAGAGTTGTTAACAGTTCAGAGAAATATGCAGAGGCCAAAAGGGAAAGAACAGAGAAGTCACTGGTTGTGAGCACAAGATTCCTGGTAACCTTGGATTCCTGTCCAAGATGAGGCCAACGTGGTCGTTACTGCTTGGCGACAGAAGGGGGCAGCAGAGAGCTGGCAGGGTGGCCTGGTTGAATCAAAAAGACAATTCAGCAGATCAGAATGCTAGGTTGCAGCTAGGAGAGCTAGAAAGCCTCCCAGTGAGTGTTACAGATGTGCCAGATGGGCTGATTAAGTGGTTTAGGCCTGCAGAGGAAGTTACCAGCACAGTTTTCCAGCCCTAGAAAGCCTTTCTTTAAAAGACCATTCAAATACCCACTTTAGCATGGCTGGGGGATGAATGGCTCAGGTCCTAAGAAAGCAAGCAAACTAGTACTTTTTCCAGAACTTTTATCCATATTCATCTATATTAAGGGTACAACACCATCAGTGATGTTAATAGTGGCAAATGAGCTGGTGCCTTTCTATTGGTTGCTTGTAAATGTCATCAGGCTTCCATATAGGCTCCTCACATTATTCAGTATTATCTCTTTTTAAAAAAATTATTTATTTGAGATGGAGTCTAGCTCTGTTGCCCAGGCTGGAGCGCAGTGGTGCGATCTCAGCTCACTGCAACCTCTGCCTCCCGGGTTCAAGTGATTCTCCTGCCTAGGCTTCCAAGTAGCTGGGATTATAGGCACCTGCCACCATGCCCAGCTAATTTTTGTAATTTTAGTAGAGATGGGGTTTCAACATGTTGTCCAGGCTGGTCTCACACTCCTGACCCCAAGTGATCTGTCTGCCTCCGCCTTCCAAAGTGCTGAGAATACAGGCGTGAGCCACCATGCCCAGCCCATTCAGTATTATATCTGAATGTCACACTTGACATTGATTTTGGCATGACTACTGCTGAACTTCCATCTGCCTCATTTCAACATAATTTTAGAAGCAAGGCTAAATGATCTATGTACTCCAAAAGAAATCTTTTCATTGGTTCTGGCCAATGCTTTTGTCATACTTGTTCCTGGAAGTGTGATGAACAACAGCATCATTGAGACCAAGATCAAGTCCATGCTAGTGAGCTAAGGTAGAGAAGAGGAGGGCTGTAGTGCTAGGAAAGGAGGTTTTAGCCTCTTTATATTCTGTGAAGTGCAGCACTTCTTGGCTAGATAGATTAACTGTTTCACTTTGTCTGCCAGGAATGGGCAGCCGTGACTTAACCATTGACTGAAGCCAGAGGAAGTTGAAGGCCCTGTAGGTGGTGGTTGGTTGGTTGTTGATGGATCTACTGGATGCTTATTGAGGTCTACTAGCAGTGGTGCACTTGAACCAGCTTGTACTAACTTCTGAGAATCAATTGTTAGCATCTCCATTATACCACAGTGGTAGCCTGAAATCAGCCACAGAAGCATATTTACACCATAGAAATTGGAAAACCCTACAAATGAGCTCCCCACTCCCTTCCTTCCCTGCATGCTGGCTGTTAAACATTTGCCAGCACACCACTGGCTATGCAACAAATACAATGCTAGGCCCCTATTCTGTCATTGGCAGAGATAATAGTATTACCTCATTCTTTTTATGTCTTCTCTCATTTTTTTCTCATTAGAACATCCAAAGATGTTCAGTATTATAAACTATTAAAGTGAAAAATTACCATTTTGCCACCTACCCTCTGACTTTATAGTCATTGGATGTTGTGTGTGTATGTGTGTTCCTGAATGCCCTACTTCTAATATGAGGCCAAATGGTTTGAATCTGGTCTCAGAACTGGCTGTGTGGCATACAGGCAACTTCAAACAAAGTAGACTAGTGGACAAGAAACCCAGCGTTGACTTTGCACTTAGTTAATTTGGGTGAGACAAATATCCTCCCCAAGACTTAGTTGCTTAGAGGGACTTTCTCTAGCAAACTCCAGTTATTTCTGCTCTAAAATTCTGAGTTACATGTCTAATTTTCTTTTGGACTGTCAAGTATCTGTATACTTAGGGAGAGTATCAGTCATCATCACTAAATAATTTGCTCCAAGCCTCCATTTATACTAAATCACTTTTGTTCTCCCAAACATGCTATGTCAAGACTGGGCCTTTGCATTGAATGTTGCCTTTTATGGAATGTCCTGCCCTCCCTTCTGTCCATCTGACAAAATCCTATTCCTCTTTGAAGGGTCAGCTTATATGTGACCAGCATTATAAAGCCTTCCAGGACTCTCTCAGCAGACTTTAGTGTCCCGTGTCCTTCTGCTGTTTCCTGGAGTCCTGGCAGCTCTCTCCCACTGAACTGACACCACTGGAGACTGTGTAGAAAAGAATCTGGGTCTACGTATGGTTACTCCAGAGAGTTCCTACAGGCCCCATCTCTTCTTTATCCTCTTGAATCCATTTGCTTTTTCTAGTTTGGCTGAGCTTTGGATTCTGTTTCTGCTTGATTTTTCACTTCTCTGCTCTTCACTCGCCTTTGGACTTGATGTGTTAGAGGATCTCTGTGGGTGTTACTTTTGTTACATTTTGTTCCCGAGCTCTCAGGACCCTTTCTCTCATCCCAGTCTGATACCTTTCTCCAATTCCTGAAATATCAAGCCTAGCCATAGACCTAGTTTCCCACCTGCTTGAGAGGGGAGTTCTGATAAGAGTTTGGAAATACCTTAGGGAGGAGGCTATTCTTTCATCTATGTATCCTGAGTGCCTATAATCATGTCTGGAACATAGAAGTGTTCAATGAATGTTTATTGAATGAATAAATAAATGTATAGGATGAGGAGAACTTACCCACCTAAGGACCTGACTTAGGGGACAAGAGTGAAATACAAGCTTGATCTCACCTCTTGAATGCTGGTCATTGAGCTTAAATCTTGCTCTAAAGATGGATAATTGTCAGCCTTTTGTAGGACCTCAAGAAGGATCTGAAGAAACTAGATATTTTTGCCAGCAAAATAATTCACAGCACACAAATGATTGTACAGAATTTCAGTGCTTTCAGAAATCCTCTGGAAGCCTTTTCATGAACGCCAGGTAAATATCCCCTGTTATACACATTTAGAAGACATTAAAAGTTTTTAAATCTGGGAATGACATGATGAAGATAATGCTTTAAGGAGGTGTTTAGGATAGACTGGGGGCTGGGAACTCTGAAGAGGTAAGAATTCTGGGTAAAAGGTGATGTGGGGCTTGAATGGGGTGTGAGACGGTGTGAGTGAAAGAAGTGGGCAAATATGGGATATTGGAAAGGAAGGAGAGGGGGGCTTGATTATTAACTGTATGAAAACCAATAGATAATTATTCTGTGCTCTTGAAATAAGATCCCTGAAGATGCTAAAGTCTGATCTGTTGATAAGATAACTGACACAAAACCCATCACCTGTTTTTAAAGAGTGATATTGTCACATATAAAATAAATTAATATTTCCAAATCTGTTGAGGGATTTATTGGGAACATAAGTTTGCATGGCTGCATGTCCACTAACCTGGTCACTGTGGGCCTGGGAATTTAGTGGGAGGGAGCAGACGTAGAAGGAAAGTGTATCTTACAACTTAACAAAAATTTTAAACTGGTAACTTTCCCTTCCTCCCTCTATCCCTCCTTTTCTTATTTTCTTCCTGTCTCTTTAATATAAAGGAGAACATACTTTTCTGTAAATTATGTTTTTACAACCTTTTTTTTCAAATGCTGTAATATCTTTTTCTTCTATTTGGTGCTCAATTCAAACCAAATCTCTTTCTGTAAAACCTATGCATAATGCTGTTGGACTTCTATTGAGTTCAGATTGGTAAGCTCTCTCATACCTCAGTAATTCCCAATCTGAATTTATGATATTGCTAGTGTGCATGGAGCATGAATAACTCCGTCTAGTACTGCATTAAAAGCATGTAAGATTTAGAAGATATCAGGCTTAGCATAAATTAAGAATAGGTATTACATGTGGCCTGTAGGGATAAAGCCGAATAAATTTAAGTGTGTGAGAGAAGATTAATATAAGCTCAGTCGTTTGGAAATTCCTTTGATTACACTTCTATCAGAAGGTGGCTAAAAATGGTCCATTTTGCTACTTATTACATTTTCTGCAACTTTCAATCATTTCCCCCTTCTGTTTTTTGGTTTCTTCTCCCATTTCACTTTCCTTTGCTTTTATCTCTGAGCAAAGACACCTTCTAAGATGTATCTCTTCATTCGAGTCCTTAATCTCAGTCTTTCATTTCTCTTCATGAGAATAGATCCATTTATTATCTCCCCTCTTTCTTGCATTGCCTTTTTCTTTCTTTACTGGCTTATTCTCAATTATTTATAAGCAAGCTCACACAACTTGTTATTCTCTCATACAATCATTCTCTCTTCTTCCTTTCTTTGTTCAGATATCTCCAGTGTAGCCCATTCTTTGCCTCCTGTGCCTCACTTCTGGATCTATTTTTGTATTAATCACAATAGGATAGATTATGCCATCATAACAAAAAACTGCTGAGCTCTCAATGGCTTAATGAAACAGAGACATATCTCCCTTTACATTGCAGTCTGTTGCAGGCTGGCCTGGCAGCTCTCCTACACCACTTCCCTTCCAGCGGCAACCCAGGGGCCAGGCTGCATCCAGTTTAACACTGCCATGTTGGAGTTGAGCTCTTTGTTTTTAACCAGCTAGCCTTAGGAGAGAGTCAACATGCAGAAATCACACTTGATTTTAACTGCTAGACCAGAAGGGACACCTCATCTCCCCTGCATTCCATTGGCGAGAACATGGAAATTTGATGAACACTACTGGTTTTGGTCTTGGTCACTATTTGCATTTGTTCAATATCATATTTCTGCTCCTATGGACACAACGATAGAGGCAGGAAGCGGAGAAATTCTAGGCAGAAAGGGTGGGTCCCTGGCAAAAGCCCCACCCTCCAGCTGAAAAGCCTGAAACCACAACCCCAAGTGAGAACTTACATCTGTGTTTTCCCGCTTGAATGTTACCTTTTCCAAAACCACTCATTGCCTGCCCTGCCCTCCATCCTGGGCTTATAAAAAACCTCAAACCCAGCTGACAGAGAGAGGAGAAGCAGCTGGATGTCAGAGACTACAGCTGGAAGTCAGGGAGAAGCGGTTTGATTCCAGAGGGACAGCTTGACTGTGTGACTTCAGAGAAGAATCTGGCCGGAGACTCCTGGACTTCAGGGGACGATTACCTTCCAGCTCTGTCCCCTTTTCAGCTCCCCTTCCCACTGAGAGCCATGTCCATCGGCAATACAGTCTCCCACACTTACCATCCTTCAATTTGTTCGTGTGACCTCATTCCTCCTGGACACCACACAAGAACTCAGGAACCACGAGTGCAGATACAAATGGCTGTCACACTGACCCTTTGCCCTCTTTGGCAGAAGGCAGCTGCCTCACACGAAAAGGTAGAGAGTCCACTGAGCTTTTAACACTTAAGCTGTCCATGGACAGCAGCGCTAAAAGAGCACTGTAACATTCCCTCTGGGACTTCAGGGGTCACAGGTGCCCTCCCACATGCTGCTGTTGCGGCCTGCACAGTTTGCTCCCGCTGACACCCAAAAGTGCTTGCCCCGACTCCTGCACCTGCTCACCTGCATGCTCTCTCCCACGAGGGGTGGAGTGCAGTGGGTCCAAGTAAGTGGAATTTGCCCCTGCCAGCACTGAAGTGGCTGGCTAGTTCCAGCGCCCAGGCACACCAGTTCCCACCTCATTCACTTGCATGCTCCCTCCTGCAAGGAGTTGAGAACTGCAGGCTGAGGAAACAAGGCACCCCCTTCATGAGTCCCATGAAGGGGCTAGGGAAATATCCTGCTTCACTACCTCTTTGAAAGAGTGAAATAACACGCAATGGCCTGGGTACCTCCACATCCTTCAGGATGCAGCTGACTAGAGGTTTGGAAAGCAAGGATATAAATATAAATTGAATACTGTATAAGATCTAAAATATTAAACTGGCCTAGACTTAACTGGATTTTTTAAATATTTGAAGTCACCAGAAAGCTATGGGATCCACCCAAGATGTTGTAAGGGGTCAGGAAAGGGAGATTTGACAAAGTAAGTCTGAAAGCAGTGAATGGGAAGAATATAAAACCATTTTAAGTTTATATCTTATTGGGTTCAAGGCAATCCAATATGCAACCTACATTTAGTTTACAGAATAATGAAAAATATCATTAGATATAAATAAAAGCATAAATTTTTCATTGTTAGATTTAAGCCGTATGAAGAAACAAAAATTAATAAAGTTATTCTTTTGTCTGTGAATAAACTTAAACAATGCCTTTATTCAGTTTGGATAACACAAAAGGGAACTTAATCACATTTAAAATTACATTCGAAGATAGAGCTTCTAAAAATAATTGAAGTTTGGTGAATGTCTTTCTGCAAAGAGTGCTGTGAAACTCTCATAATTAGATTAATATGGTTAATTCCCCTGGAGTATTACAGTAAGTGAATCAGCCCTAATAATAAAGTACATTACATCTAAACAAACTAAATGCCTTTTAATATACTCCCAATGACCTCCTGAGTGAAGTTTTCAAATTTTTATAAATTCTCATCCACGCTTTTAACTTCTAGGGGCTTGAGCGTGAATTATGATTCAAAGACAGAGTTTGCTTAAATAATGTATGGCTGTGGATAATTAAAAAGAACTCTTCCTTTACAGAAAAAGACACTTTAGGTATGAAGGCGGTGTCTCAGATAATGTTCAGAGGGCGGAAACATGCCTGATATTTCATATCAACTCTCTTCTTTCTTAAGTCATCTCATTACTCTTGGGAAACGACCTGGTTTTTAAAGATTGCTGGAGAAAAGGATTTCAACATCCCAGTTTAATCATCCTTCCTGCTACAACTAAAATTGTGCATTATTAATTATAGTGAACATTCCTCATTATGTATTTCTTAAATTATTTCTTATAATCTTTCTTATTTTTTTTTGAGATAGGGTCTCACTATGTCACCCAGGCTGGACTGCAGTGGTGTGATCTTGGCTCACTGCCACCTCTGCCTCCCAGGTTCAAACGATTCTCATGCCTCAGCCTCCCAGGTAGCCAGGATTACAGGTGTGTACCACCATGCCTGGCTAATTTTTTTTGTATTTGTAGTAGATACAGGATTTTACCATGATGACCAGGCTGGTCTCAAACTTCTGGCCTCAAGTGATCCACGTGCCTCAGCCTCCCAAAGTGCTGGGATTACAGGCATGAGCCACCGCATCCAGCCATTTGTATAAATTCTTTATACATAAATCATTTAAAATCCCTTTTCCCCTCTGGAAGACACTGACTTTATTTGTTATGAAATAGCTAATTTTGGGGATCTAAAATAATGTCTGGCTTGGAAAAATATTTATATGATTTTAAAGGTAAGGAAACCTTCCAGGATATGTATGACACCAAATAATCTTACGGAGCTTAAAGAACTCAGAAAGTTCACTTGGTTAGTGGGAAAGCTAGGAATCAACTGATTTTCAAGCCAGTGCTTTGTGCCTTATATTGCAATTTCTCCATTGTGTGTGCACCTTTTTATGTACAGAGTTGATGGAAAGGCTAATGTAGAGTCTAAAAAAGTGAGATTAATAGCAATAAAAAGTACTATAGATGAGTGGCTTAGAGGATATAGACAAAGTAAAATCCAAATTATTGTTTATAATTATCCACTAATTTGTTTATTTGATTGATCTTAACCACTAACTTATAAGCTCCAAGAAAGCATTAATTACATTTTAAGTTATATCTTGATACATACAGCTGTCCTTTTAAAAATTTAATTTAGCAACTTATAACTCAGCTTTAAATATTTTATTTTCTCTAAGGAGTGTCAATGTATTGGCAATTTCATAGATTTATTTCCAAGGTCTAAATTTTGTGAACTTTGTGAATTTTATGAACTCGTCTTTTCATAAAGCCATCCTTTAAAGTAATTACTGAACTTTATATATATATATCTAAATGTCATCAAAAGAGCAGCATTTTTATACTCTCTTGAATTTCTGATACTGTGCTAAAGGATCTTTTAACTGTAATACTTGTTAATTGCATCACTTTAAAGTAGACAAGTGAATCATTGAGACGTCTTACAAACTGAGAGTGAGTTTGATGAAACTGTCTATTGATGTCTTTCATTGATGGCTCATTCAACCTGCAATTGGTCCCACTCCGAAGTTTAAGAGATCATTTAAGGAAGGTATCACTCCAAATGAATTGTGGGCCTTTTGTGTTTTTTTTCAGTTGGTTTTCTTTATTTTAAATTATAAAAGAATGTATTACTATAGTCTCGTTGTAAAAAGTTAAATAGAACAGCAGCCACAGAGCAAACACTAATTTTTTCCTCAATAATTTCATCAGTAATTATACTTGGCCATAACAAAATACTATAGACTGGATGGCTTAAATAATAGAAACACATTTTTTTTCACAATTCTAGAAGCTAAAAGCCTGAGATTAGGGTGCCAGCATAGTCGGTTTCTGGGGAGGGCTCTCTTTCTCCCTTGTAGATGGCCAGTTGCCTTCTCACTGTGTTCTCACATGGTGGACAGAGACAGCAAGATCTCTCTTCTTATAAGGACACTAATTCCATCATGAGGGCCCCACACTCATGACCTCATCTAAACCTAATCACCTCCCAAAGGCCATATCTGCAAATAACATCACATTAATGGCTTCAGCATATGAGTTTTTGGGGGACTCAATTCTGCCCACAGCAATAACATTGACAAATATTTATGTAGTATGTGCTAATTTATAGAATGCATATTATGTCAAGATCTGTCTTAAACAATTTTGCATGCACACATACATTTTATAGATGAGGAAACTGAGGGATGTAGAGAAAGTACACAGCTGGGAAATGGCAGAGCCAAAACTTAAATTTAGGAGGTTTGGTAACAAAGTCTATGCCCTTGAACACTACTCCATAAAACCTCCCTATAGCCCTCCTCAGAGATTAACACTGCCAAGTGGTGTGCATTCTTCTAGGCCCATTTATAGACCTTTAGTTTTGCTCTGTTTTTGGTCACTAAATTCATTGGGAGACTAATGTTGTAGCAAGTGGCATATAAAAGAGGGTTTGCTGAGTCTTCTGGACTGCTTCTCCACCTAATTGCCTCATTAATGCTGCCAAGACTTCAGATTTCAACCAAACAGTACTTCATCATGGAAGCCACCCTGAATCTCCGACTCCTTTATTCTAAAAAGGAAGAAAATGAGATCCATAGAGGTTAATTAATTTCCTCCAAAGAGGCGTCCTTGCTCTTTCATGTCAGAGTTAGGACTAGAATCCAGACCTCTTGATTTAGCCGAGAGCTCTTTTTCAGCATGCCATTTTGATCATCTGGGACACAAACTCACCACTTATGACTCAAGGGAGAAACTCCTAAGAGTACTGCTGTCTTGTAATTTGGCCAATCTTGGAGAAGTACGTTTTAGATCTTAAATCTGTGCACTGATTATTCTAAAAAAGAGCAGCAAATAATAGAGGAAATGCCAGCTTTCAGCATAAGCACAAAATAAATTTTTGAAATTCCTTCTGTTTTAAATTTCAATCTCTGGATGTGAATATGTATTAGATGCTTATTGCTACCATAACAAATCGTCACAAACTCAGCAATTTAAAATAACTGAACGTATTTCACTACTGTACAGGTCAGAAGTCTGGTAGGCTCAGCTGGCTTTTCTGCTCTGGGTACCACCATTGCACCATTTGCACCATTACACTCCAACCTGGATGACAAGAGCGAAATTCCAATGGTGCAATATCAGCTCACTGCAACTTCTGCTTCCCGAGTTCAAGAGATTCTCCTGCCTCAACCTCTCAATAGCTGGGATTACAGGCAGCTACCACCATGCCCAGCTAATTTTTGTTGTTGTTGTTGTATTTTTACTAGAGATGGGATTTCATCATGTTAGCCAGGCTGGTCTCAAACTCCTCATCCCAGGTGATCTGCCTGCCTTGGCCTCCCAAAGTGCTGGTATTGTAAGCATGAGCCACCATGCCTGGCCTTGTATCCCTATTTTGATGTCCATAACTGTAATCACATTGGCAAAGTCCCTTCCCTTTTACAATCTAAAGTAACTGTTTTTCTGGGAATTAGGACATAGAAGTCTTTGGAGAGGGTGGTGGTGGTGGTAATTATTCTGCTTACCACAGTCCACCTTATGCCCTTAAAGATTCATGTCTGTTTCATATACAAAATACATTTATTTCATCCCAAGATTGCCAAAGGTCTCGTCCCATTACAGCATCAATTTAAGTTCAAAATCTCATCTA